GTATTTGAAACGGCGAATGTAAAGCGGGTAATTAAAAGTGTGGTAGCAGAAGTGATGTGATAGGTGACATAAAAAGGAAAAACCTTAAAACCCCAGAAATCCTAAAACCCCATAAACCCTAAAACCCCGGAAACCCTAAACCCTAAGGAGTTATTTCGAGTTTCAAGAACGATTAAGGGAGGGAGTCATATTCTGGAAGAATATAAAAAATTGATACAAATACTTATATTCTTCCAGGGGGGGCATTTCTTAGTGAAGAAAAACCGATACCAGGATCGATAAACACGAAAGAGTAAGATCGAAGATCATATGTTTGGTTAAAAATTTGATAAGAGACAGGTAAAAGACACCTGGTAACCACAAGATAAAAACACGTATAAATCAAGAATCAGAATCTAGAATCGAGAATCGAAGGAAGAATATTCGATGTCTATTGTTGAAGAGAATCGAGAAATTAGAATCTAGTGTAAAGTTAAGATTAAAGGGAATCAAAAGCAATTCAGAGTACTCGATGTCTGAAATCGAGATCGAGGGAACGGTTAACACGCACATAGAACATGGGAAGCGGTTTCTAAACCGAGGCAGAGATTGAAGATCAAGGGAGCAGTTCTCTCATGCATGAGAACGTGAAATGCAGTTTCCTTAAACCGTGGAACTAAGGGACGTGCACGTTGGATCGTGGCGACAATTTTATTAAACTGCTTTTAGGAGGTTACTTAAAGGGTGCTCTATAAATAGAACGAAGACTTGAGGAAGAAGGGGAAATTGGCAGAGACAACAGAAGCGCAAGTGAACAGTCTACAGGAAAACGACGCATCATGAAGTTTCTAATGCTCTGGATTTCCGTTTTCATTGATTGCCTTTATCGCTTTCTTTACTTTCCCTGGTAATTTACTTTCATTGCAATTTATGTTTATCAGCTTTAAGTTTTTGCCTTTTCAATTCCTTGCCCATTTACTGTTATGCAAAATTCACTTTTATGCAAGTTAAGGTTATGTGTTTAAGATCCTTACCATTTACATTTCTGCAATTTCGATTTCTTGTTATTTACATTTCCGTAATTTCGATTCCTTGTCATTTACACTTAATGCAAATTTGAGATTTACGTATTTTACATTTCCCTGCAATTTAATATTTTGCACTGCTTTTCGATTCGACGTTTTTACTGTTTTCTTTACTTCGCGTCTCTTAATAAAAAATACCAAAAAATAGTACTTTCGATCATCGATCTGTACTTAAGTCATACCGTTTGCATTTCTTGAGATTATATGATTCTCGATTCTCATGCATTTTTCGATTGAAAACTAGTTGCTAGCCTAAATGAAAAGAATCTACATGATTAAGATTTGATTAAAACTTAAGTCTCGATAAATCGAAATCGATCAAATTTTCACCAGAAACACATGCATATATAATTTATTAAATATTTATTTATACAAAAATAAAGGAGCAGTACTTAAAATTGTAATACTTTAATTAATTAGTAAATTAAAACTTGATTATTCAAATATGATAATATTTAACAATTTATATTTATTTTCTCTACTCTCATATAAGATACTTTTATTTTATTTTTCATAATTTTTTTACCTTATAAATTTATTATCATTCAAAAACGTTTGATTATATCACTTCTAATAAAAAAATCTTAAAATATTAAATTATACATCTTTATCATCTATAAATTACTTAATATTGAATTTTCGTATTCGATATAAAACTTCAATTTCACACTTAATTCTCAGTAATTCCAGCATTAAATGTTTTTTTCAAAATATATTATCTGCTTAGACAAGAAGAAAAGTCACTTGAATTTGTGAAGTGTCATGATGTGCATGTGGTACGTGAAACATCACATCACAAACTTTATAAAAAAATTTAATATCAAATTAACAAAAGATGGCCATCTAAAATTGTACAATATAAAACTAAAGGGAATAGAATCAAATTTGAACTTTACAATTATTGTGAATTCGAGTAAATCATTCAATATTTTAAAATTGCATTTGATAAAAAAATCATTTTATTTAGAGAGTAAATAACTAAATATGTTGTATTTATTTATTAATATAGTAAAATGTCTTGGGGAATTTATCTAGTAATTTTTCCTTAATATTAAAGAGTTTTTAACGTTAAATCTTAATATATCAAAATCTATTCATTGAGCTTAGATGTGCTTCACAACTCATGTTTTCTTCAGACCTTCACAGTTCTTATAAAGAGATGAACATGGAAAAATTTGAATTTAAGAAATTACATTATAAAAATGATATACAATTATTTTTTCAGGAAAAATTGTGATTATTAATTTTTGTTTTATTAAATAATTAAATTATTTTTACTTGTAATTAAATGATAAAAAATAAATTTCCTTGTATATAATAGTATTCTAAAATAATTTTTTTAATAAATTATGATGGAAATTTATTTAAATAATCCATATTTTTAACAAGTCAAACTTCACTCGTTTAATGTATACGTTCAACTATTCCCTAGAAAGACCTAAGCAACAAATTGTTGTGAGAATTATTTTAAAGACTAAGTACATTAAATATAAATATAAAGAGTTAATCTCATAAATAATGTATTTTAAAAATTATTTATAAATTTATTTATTAAATGTATTTATTTATAGTTTATATACAAAATTTAATAATAGGAAATATAATTATTTTTTTTATTTTTTATTTTTTCTATTTACTTACTTTTTTTTCCTCTTATACTTGTTTTCTTCTTTTCTTCTCCTCCTTTTTTTTATCTCTCACTCAATCTTTTTTTTAATTAAAAATGCTATATTTAAATTTGATAAAATAGAATTTTATTATTTTAAAAAATAAAAATATTTAAAAATATTATAATTTAATATATTATATATGAACAAATATTATATGATAAATTAAAAATATTATTACTATGTCATAATTATTAAGAAAATTTTAAATATTTATGTTAAAGTAAATTTTTTTAAAATTACCGCACTATTTATCATAACTCATCTTAATTACAACTAGAGTAACTTGTTAAATGAAAAATATATTTAACTCATAAATATTTAATATTTTTTAATTAGGTAAATAATTAATTTCTTATGATAAAATAAGTCTAAATTAATTACTTACATTATCTTAAATAAAATAATTTATTATCATAATAAATAAAATTATTTACTATTATCGTAATTTTAATTAATCAATTAATATTTTTTAGTTTCAACATTAATTTTAAAAAAATTATTGTAATATGTTTTTATTCAATTTAAATATAATAATTTTAATTAAAATAATAAACTATACACGAGAGCTAAAAAGACTTGAGATAGTAAGGAGAAAAAACAAGGGAAAAAAATGAAGAGAGAAACAAAAATATAAAAAACAAAAAATAAATAAGAAGAGAGAAAAAATTAAAAAAATATATAAGGCGAAAAAATAAGATTTATATATAAGTAATAAAAAAATTAATTTAAATAAATAAATTAATAGATATTTTATTTAAAAAATAAAATAAAAATGTATTTATTTACATAATTGATTCACCCACATATCGTTCTGATATCCTCACTATATATAACTGGGCTCAATTTGTTCCTAACAAATAGAAGCCCAAACTAAAGTAATATAATGTGATACTTGATCACACTGTTCCATTACTAGCTAGGTGTTCAGCCCAATCAGTTTTTGTAAATAAATGTTGCTTAATAACCTAAATAAATAGTAATGATAATAAAACATTTATTTAAGATTTGTAAGAGTAAGTGTAAATGGTAAGGGTAATGAAATGTTTGTATTTTATTTTTTTTAGTTTGTGGAATCCAAAGTCACTCTAAACTCCAACTAATAAGTTAAATTTGACTCTAATATTCAACTCTCCCATTTTTGCATAGTTTCACTCAATTCTATCTATCAAGGATTAAATTGAATTGATTTAGATCATAATTTTTTTAAAATAATTTTTTATTAATTTTTTTATTGTTAAAATGCTTTTTGTTATTCAATATTTCAATGATATGAGAGTTTAATATATAAAATTAATTAATAAAATAATTAAATAAAATTATATTATAATTAACATTAATATTATTTCATATTTTCTATCGGGTTAAGTTTAATACTATATGGGATTAAGATTAATATTGGATTATAAAACTCGTCACTCAAAAATTATTAAAAATAAATTATTTTTATTTTGTTCATATCTAAATTTAATACTTATTGACTACTTTTTACAATTAAAAAGTGACATAATGATTAAATTAATGTTATGTGTGATTTTATTTTTATATATAGTAATAATTTCTATATCGCCATAAAATCAATAAAAAAAACTAAATTTACATATTTAAAAAACTAATTAATCAATTTTTAAAATATAATAATTGAAATTAAGTTTGATTAAAAAAATATAAAAAAAAACATATTGAACTAAAAAAAAAAAAGTCTAACGTACGTTTTATTTTTCACATATGATTCATACCACCTTCATAAAAATATAAATATTCAAATATTTATACTTAAATATGCTTTCATTTCTTGAAATATAATTATACTTTGTTTTTAGTTTTTATTTTTTTTAGTTTTGGTTCATATGAAATTATATTTTCATTTTTTCATCTTATTAATCCTTTTAATTTATATATACTTTTTAATTGCTATAATCCTTTTATTTTATTCAGTTTTACTTTTATTAAAATAAAATAATATAACTAAATCAGTTAAAAAATAATTAAGCCCTTTTTTTAATAAAAATGTAAATACAAATGTATTTCAAAGACCAAAACATAATTTATTCAAACAATTGTTATTGCTGCATAACGTTAACAGTACACAAGTTTCACCATAACTACTACCCCACATGCATTACCATCTTGGGTGATTCTTCAGACATTTTCATGTTTTTGTTTTTCTTTAAATTGTCACCAACTACTTCAAATTACATATAGGTTATAAAACATTTCAAATTAAACATGCAACAACATTCTAGGACGAAATAACTCTGATGCTTGCTTATAATCTTGTTTTGATTGGTAATTTTTTTGCTGCTTCCAGTATCATTTCCAGAGATGTCTGGAAACATGACTTGAGTTGATATTCGTCTATGAAGCCTTCCTCTACTACAAATCCAACTCTTAAATATCCCGAGTATGTTGTTATAGTCACTGTGATACTCTGTAATTTAAATCCATCACAAAAAATGTTATACTAAACTTTATTAATGTTGACAATGAGGAACATGAACAAGGATAAAAACATTTCTGCATAGCATATACTTTATGCATGTTGTGTAAATTATGCAAAATATATTTTAATACCTAAAATATTTTGTAAGTTATAACTTTTTGTGTTCAATTTGTTGGAAAATAGGCCAATTTTCAATCTTTGTTTTAAACTGGTCATTGCAAACAGACCTGAGATAAACCAACAGTCATGAAGTAGAGGCCTTTGATTGGATGATTAATCAAAGCCACTTTTTCCATTGGTCCTACCACGTGTGAGATGCTCAAACTTGCATTATTCATTATCTTATGCATGTATTTTGTAGCAGCCTGCAACACCAAGAACAAACAATTCTGTAATTAGTCACTTCAACCACTCTGAAAAATAACTAGCCTCGTGCATTTTAAGCATATATTCAGAAAACCAGTGATTAATTGAAGAAAAACATGATGATTTCAAACCTCTGGTCCTTTGATTTCGTTCAACAAGCGTAACAGCGCGCCAGTCATTGGTACTTCCAAAGAATTTCTCTTCCGGCTGATGTTTTTCTTGGCTTCGAACACATACTCAAGAGGGTTCAAATAATCAATGTCATCACTTAACATGGGCATTGGAACATGCATGAAGTGGAATCTATTCCCCCAAGGTGCCTCGGAATTGGTATCATGCATCTCCTTCAGTGATACGTAACGTCTAATTTTCCTGGTATTGAGCAGCACCAGTGCTGTACTCTCTGTGCTTGATTTGTGATTCTTTGCCTTCATGTATAGTTGAATGCCAAAGAAAATTGCACCAACCAGGACATCATTTACACTCTACAAGTAAAGAAAACAGGGAAAAAGTTATTGGTTATTTTTCAGTAAAGAAAGCAAAAAGATTGAACGTACCACTTTGAGTTTACTTTTGACTTCTTCGAAGTTGTCCAAAGAGAGGGAAACATTTGAAAACCTCATAGGTCGAAACCCTACATCTTCATGCCCTGACCTAATTGGTGTTTTTTCATCTGGGATCAAGCTACTTTTCAACAAACTCCAGCCAAAATCAAATGCGCTCTTAACCATAGAAGCAGTTTGAGATAATTGTTTTGGCATGACTTTGGTACTTTTTGATTCCACCGATCGGCTTGAAGGAAACTTTACAGGAACAGAAGGATTGTCAGCATTTTGTACGCATGAAAGAAAAGTTGTCATGAAACAGTAGCCATCTCCAAGTGAATGATGGAGCTTAAGTATAAAAGTTCCCGCAGCTTTGCTCGTTGGATACTTAAATATATGAAATTCCCAAAGTGGTTTATCTTCTGGTAACTGTTCCATACCTATTTTTGACATGTATTCATCAAAACACTCGTCATATAATTTGGTTACTCGCTTGGTGGATGTAAACGTAGGAATCTTGATGTGATCCTTCAGATTAACATCAACTTGTTTCCATGCTTTTTTTCCATTCTTGTTCGTAACCTGTTCAAGTTATGCAGTAATCATGCTTAGTGAAATTTTTCTTCCTTCTAAAGTAGGAGTTAAATGATGGAATATAGTAATAAAATTATAAGTAGGTACCATGATAGAGGAGAATCGGGGACTGGTGGGAAGGAAGTTGTTCTTAAGCAGAGGTTGAGCTTTTGAGTCATCAATTGGAATCTCAGATTCAATAACACCAAGAACAAACACATTTATCAAAGAGTTGCTAAAGTAATCTGCCAAAGGACTCACAGGCATTGGAACATCTTCCTCAAAGCAGTTCATCTTTTTCTCTTTTCCTTCTTCTGCGACCAATTATTCGTCTGCAAAGTAAACAAGGAAAGCACGTGTCTGTTTCAGAGCCTTACGCACTGCTATTTATAAGCATGCATTGATGCACAAACATGGGAACTCATAGTAGCTATCACCAATATTACTTTAACATGATTTGAAGTAGTAAGTTATGTAAAAATTAAAAAATTAAATATATAAATGAAAAAAATTACAAAATTACTACCATGAAAAATTGGTAAATAATATCATGTTTTTTTATGTGATTATTTTTTAATTTTTTTTACTATTGCTCTCTTTATACCTAACAATATGTTATTTGATAAAAAATTATATATTTATATTTGAATGATGAGATAAGACCTATAATCAAAGAGTTTATAGTAATCACATCAAAAAATTATATCTAAGAATAGCTTTTTATTGATTAAAAATATAGTTTTGCATATCAATTATCTGTTTTGGAAACTTGAGTTGGTTTTCATCTTTTATCTTTTTAAGAGATAATTAATGGAGAAAGATATGTATCAACTATTTTACATTGAGTTTTATAAGTGATATAAAATTTATGGTATTATAAAGAAGTTTTAAAATGGAATAATAATAACAATAATAAAATTAATAATAAAAAATTAATAATAATAATAATAATAAATATTTTCGTATTTAATGTTTATGATTGATTATGTTAAAACGAAAAACTTGGATCTATGAAATACTCTTGAAGAATTATTTCTTATAATAATTATATCATCTTACTTAAAAAGATTTAAACCTTGAAAAAGGTGTAGGATTAATTTAGAACACTAAATTTTATTAATAGTGTTTTAATTTAACATAAATTTTGGGACCACTAGGTGGTCTATTATATCCAGGACACACAATATAATTATTGGAAAAAAAATGGTCAAGCAAAACACTTTTTAAGGATTTTATTATTCTGTTAGTCTTTAATTTTATTTTTTAATTCATAATAAAAAAAATTAAATGGTCATCATTTTTTAGTTTTTAAAATGTTTTTTTTTCTCATTAAATCATAATATTAATTGATAGTGTAATAAACTATGGAACTTGGTTCAATATTCTATGTGATTTTTTTTATAAACTATATTTTGAATTATTCATTTGTTAATAAAATTCAATAACATCATAATAGTTAGTGAGTGATTAAAATTTAATTTATCAAAAGAAATTAGTAAAACTCTTATCTTTAAATTATTATTATTATTGTTATTAATTTGATTTAAAACTTGAATACCCAACCCTTTAACCTTTTAATTAGTCAAACTCCTAAATTTAAAACGTTTTGGTTCTGTTTGTGAGTTTGGTGAGTTCATAATGCTAAAAGTACACTGTTTTTCCTTTCTATACTATTTATAGAAATAGTAATGGGCCACGGATAATGCCCTACTTGTTGTTAGGAAAAAAATAATCTGTTATCTATTTTATTATTTTTAGTCTGTTACTTGTTTAAAAATATTTAAATATTTAAATATTTGTGGGTATAAATATTTGTTAATAATTTTTATTTTTATTTTAAATATTATTATTTAAATTTTTAAATATATTTAATATTTTCTTTTATTATAAAATATACTTCAAATAAAATTTAATTATAAAATATTAATATAAATAAAATTAATCTTTATAAAATATTAATTTTAATAAATTATAATATACAAAAAATTAAAAATATTTTTTTTTGAGTAATTATTTAATATATCCTGATAATACCTATAGTATTTTTTTGTTATCCTTAGTTATGTGTGATTATGAACTATTTATTTATTTATTTGTAAGAATTAATGAACTTCATGAAGAAACTATTTTTTTGACTTTGGTACTACTATCTCTATTTTCAATACATTTGCTCTTAAAAAAAAAATCAATCCAATGTAATATTAGTGTTTTAGAATGCTATCTATAGATTGAACCTATAATTAGTCAAATTCTATTATGATTTAATCAAAATTAGAGATTTTAATAAATTTCAATCACTCTCTATCATGATTTCCAAGTAAAATCAACAAAAACCCATAGTTTTTAATAAATTTCAATCAATCATAGATAGAGTTTCAGAAAGGATAAGTGTATATTTTTTTTCATGTATTTGTTTTCAAAACTTTTTTTTAAATAGATTAATTTAATCTCAAAGTTTTAAAAATATATTATTTTAATCTTTCATACCTAATTTTAACATTTAATAACATTTTTTATCCTCATAAAATTCATAAAGAAACTAAATTCATTCGGTAAATGATTTTAATATTTTTTAAACCTAAATTAAACTTTAGGAATAATTTTTACCATAGTTTAAAAAAATCACAAATTTATAAATTATGAGGATAATTAGTCTACCTTTTAAAATATAAGAAAAAAAATCAAAGATTTTAAAATAATATAAGTAATTCATTTACTCAATATTAAAAATTACAGCGACTCATTCTTGACTTCATTGTTTATTTTTTAATTTAATAATTAAAAATATTAACTTCTTTTAATTATTAAGTTATAATAAAATAAGCCATATTATTTATTATTTTTGGAATAAGAAAAAATATTTTCAAAAATATATTTAACCAGTTTCAAAAATGTAATTTAGAGAGGGTCACTAACATTTTTCTTTCGTATAAAAAAATTGTTAAAATAACACAAAATATATGAATAATTTAATTATATTTATTTTAGTAACGAATCTCACGTTTATTTCTTTAACTTCCTTCCATGGTGACAAAATTTAAATAAAGAATAGGAAAAATAAACATATATATGAATGCGAGTTTTGCAGGGAAAGATTTTTTTTATCAAATGGGTGTAATTTTTTATCAAATTTGTCAAGATGGGTAAATTTTTAAAAAATTACACGGATTTGGATAAATCGTTCCATGAAATACAACTCTACCTGAAGAAATCGTGTTATCAAATATAATTCTATAAGAAGAAATCGTACTTACTAACAATTTAGTTTTTTTTTTGTTTCTAAACGAAAAAGTCGTGTTCGGTACCAGGAGTTTTATATAAATTTATATAGAAGCGGTACTATCTGTACGAATTATTATATTAATATTATTAAAATAAAATAATATAAAAATGAATGATTATTAATAATTATATTATTATTAATAAAAATAATATTAATAATAAGATAATTCTATTAATAAATATAAGTTTTATTATTATTATTAATGAAAAAATAATATTAATAATTAATAAAATTATATTTTTATTAAATTATATTTTTATTAAATAATATTAATAATAATAACAAATATATAAATAAGTAATAGAATTATAATTATTAAAATAATTATTTTATTTTTAATATTATTTGTATTTTATATAATTATAATTATTAATTTATTTTTATTATTAATAATAAAATTAAAATAATATTAATTATTATAATTATATTACTTTAATTATTATTTTTATTTTATTATTAATAATACAATATTAATTTAAATAATAAAATAAATAATAATTTAATAATAATATAAATTAAATTTTTATCACTATTATTTAATTTATTATTAATAATATAAAATATATTATTAATTATAATATTTATTATAATATAAAATTAAAATTCATACTAATACTACTTTTATATAAATTACTTTTATATAAATTTAAATAAAAATCACATAAATAGTATTATAAAATATAAATTCTTCATGTAAAATCATACATAGTAATACCACTTACCTAAATTTACAATTTTTAAAAATTATTAATTTATAAAAAATTACACCCATTTATTAAAAAAAATGCATTAGAAACATACTTTAAAGAAAGTAGCTATCTACCCTAACCTTGTCTCATACACAGCGTACGTTAACGCCATACTTAATATGATAGTGATCAAAGGACAAAAAAAAAAAACGTGGAGACATGAGATTTTAACAAACACTTTTTTAACTGATGTATATAGAAAGTCGACACCACAAACTTAAAACAATAAATAAGCATTTATTGTCAGGTTAAACATCAACTTCATCGTACACATTGTTTTTTGTTTTTGTTTTTTTTAACTCAAATTTAGTTTAACAATAAAATTGATGCTAATTTCACAAGTAAAATTAACACTAGTCTAACATATGCCAATGGTATAACTTTTAACATCTATTTTAAAATTAATTTCTATTATATATTGAAAAAACTAATCATATAAATTAAAGTTACAAAAATATATTAAATCATATAATTGTTATATTTTTTATATTTTTGAAGCGAATAAAGTAAGTGTTTATTGAAAGAGAATTTTTTTATAAAGTTATTTTAAGACATATTTATTGTATTAAAAACAAAAATCTTAAACTTCATGTATTATAGAATGATAAAAATATTTATTTAACTTAACAAAACTGTAATAATCATTAAATTTGGATAACAAAATCATAATGATTAAATTACAAAATCATAAATATACAAGTTAAAATTTTTTGAGAGTTACCAACATCAGTTCCCAAGAAAATATGTTCTTATTTAAAATTGAGAAAATAAAATAAAAATAAATAAATAAAATAATTATTAATTGTTATTCAGAAGAAGTATCATATCAACTGTTACAACTAAACCCCTCTTGTTTTGGTCTTTATATATTCATTTTACAATTGTTTATTTTATATAGAATGGATACTTAAGGCTGTGTTTGTTTCGAAAACGGAAATTTAACAAATAAATAAATAAAAGTATTAGAAAGGCGTATAACAAAGAGACAAGTTTGTTTTTGTTACATTTAAAAGAAAAATGTGGATTTCAAAATTTAGAAATGACACGTTTTCTTTTCACTACTCCAACCATTCTTTTAAAGAAAGCTTAATAGTTAATTATATAAAGTAAATGCTACATAATAGATTATATTAAAAGATACCATTTATATTTTAACATTTTTTATTAGAATAGTTAAATATTAATAAAAGTAACTAAAAAATATTAAAATAAAAAACTATTCATTTTTATTTATTTTTAGTTATTTCTCTTTGGTTAAAATCAGTGTGCACTGAACATGCTCAGGTACGACCGGTAATAGAAAACGGGTCCAAAGTACAATAATTGGAGTTCGTTTAAATGATAGAAGAGTATACAATAAAAAATGTAATTAAATAAAAACAAATTAAATTCTTAAAACTAAAATCATACGAGTAAGTCATAATTTTATAAAATTTAAATTTTATTAAATAGGCACATTTAGAAATGAATATATTATTATAAAAATACAATTATTAACATATAGTTACAAAATTTTCAATTATAGTTATTGTCTTATTTGAAGCTAGTCCCACAATCTTATTTCTAAGGTATTAAAATTAATGCTCATGGTTATTTTTTACAAATAAAAATATAATTATATAATTATTTATTTTGATCATCTCACGTTATTATTTATTTAAATAAGTAGAGAACGAATTCATTTTCTAAAATAAATTAAAGTAAAAATTTGCAAATTATTAACTTTCAATTTAGTTTCTTTTAGTCACTCACTAACACTTAATAATAATTTTTTAGATATTTTTTTCAGTAATATAAATGAGTAAATTTTTCTTAGAATCAACACACAAAAATTACGTGTTTTTATAAATAAAAAATTGTAACAAATCCCACATTGGAGAGACTTCCTTACTAGGGAGGTCTTATAAGGTAGGAGGTTCTCCAACCTCTTAAACTAGCTTTTGAGGGATGACCTTATGATTATGATTGGTACATTATCTTATGTACTTTTTTTTTTCATTTTTTTACTTTTATGATAAGACTCACATGTACACACATAGGCCCACTAACAAGGAAACTAGCCCAAGATGCAAAATAACAAACCCACCCCAACTATTTGTTTTAATTATATTATATTAATATTATTAAAATAAAATAATATAAAAATGAATGATTATTAATAATTATATTATTATTAATAAAAATAATATTAATAATAAGATAATTCTATTAATAAATATAAGTTTTATTATTATTATTAATGAAAAAATAATATTAATAATTAATAAAATTATATTTTTATTAAATTATATTTTTATTAAATAATATTAATAATAATAACAAATATATAAATAAGTAATAGAATTATAATTATTAAAATAATTATTTTATTTTTAATATTATTTGTATTTTATATAATTATAATTATTAATTTATTTTTATTATTAATAATAAAATTAAAATAATATTAATTATTATAATTATATTACTTTAATTATTATTTTTATTTTATTATTAATAATACAATATTAATTTAAATAATAAAATAAATAATAATTTAATAATAATATAAATTAAATTTTTATCACTATTATTTAATTTATTATTAATAATATAAAATATATTATTAATTATAATATTTATTATAATATAAAATTAAAATTCATACTAATACTACTTTTATATAAATTACTTTTATATAAATTTAAATAAAAATCACATAAATAGTATTATAAAATATAAATTCTTCATGTAAAATCATACATAGTAATACCACTTACCTAAATTTACAATTTTTAAAAATTATTAATTTATAAAAAATTACACCCATTTATTAAAAAAAATGCATTAGAAACATACTTTAAAGAAAGTAGCTATCTACCCTAACCTTGTCTCATACACAGCGTACGTTAACGCCATACTTAATATGATAGTGATCAAAGGACAAAAAAAAAAAACGTGGAGACATGAGATTTTAACAAACACTTTTTTAACTGATGTATATAGAAAGTCGACACCACAAACTTAAAACAATAAATAAGCATTTATTGTCAGGTTAAACATCAACTTCATCGTACACATTGTTTTTTGTTTTTGTTTTTTTTAACTCAAATTTAGTTTAACAATAAAATTGATGCTAATTTCACAAGTAAAATTAACACTAGTCTAACATATGCCAATGGTATAACTTTTAACATCTATTTTAAAATTAATTTCTATTATATATTGAAAAAACTAATCATATAAATTAAAGTTACAAAAATATATTAAATCATATAATTGTTATATTTTTTATATTTTTGAAGCGAATAAAGTAAGTGTTTATTGAAAGAGAATTTTTTTATAAAGTTATTTTAAGACATATTTATTGTATTAAAAACAAAAATCTTAAACTTCATGTATTATAGAATGATAAAAATATTTATTTAACTTAACAAAACTGTAATAATCATTAAATTTGGATAACAAAATCATAATGATTAAATTACAAAATCATAAATATACAAGTTAAAATTTTTTGAGAGTTACCAACATCAGTTCCCAAGAAAATATGTTCTTATTTAAAATTGAGAAAATAAAATAAAAATAAATAAATAAAATAATTATTAATTGTTATTCAGAAGAAGTATCATATCAACTGTTACAACTAAACCCCTCTTGTTTTGGTCTTTATATATTCATTTTACAATTGTTTATTTTATATAGAATGGATACTTAAGGCTGTGTTTGTTTCGAAAACGGAAATTTAACAAATAAATAAATAAAAGTATTAGAAAGGCGTATAACAAAGAGACAAGTTTGTTTTTGTTACATTTAAAAGAAAAATGTGGATTTCAAAATTTAGAAATGACACGTTTTCTTTTCACTACTCCAACCATTCTTTTAAAGAAAGCTTAATAGTTAATTATATAAAGTAAATGCTACATAATAGATTATATTAAAAGATACCATTTATATTTTAACATTTTTTATTAGAATAGTTAAATATTAATAAAAGTAACTAAAAAATATTAAAATAAAAAACTATTCATTTTTATTTATTTTTAGTTATTTCTCTTTGGTTAAAATCAGTGTGCACTGAACATGCTCAGGTACGACCGGTAATAGAAAACGGGTCCAAAGTACAATAATTGGAGTTCGTTTAAATGATAGAAGAGTATACAATAAAAAATGTAATTAAATAAAAACAAATTAAATTCTTAAAACTAAAATCATACGAGTAAGTCATAATTTTATAAAATTTAAATTTTATTAAATAGGCACATTTAGAAATGAATATATTATTATAAAAATACAATTATTAACATATAGTTACAAAATTTTCAATTATAGTTATTGTCTTATTTGAAGCTAGTCCCACAATCTTATTTCTAAGGTATTAAAATTAATGCTCATGGTTATTTTTTACAAATAAAAATATAATTATATAATTATTTATTTTGATCATCTCACGTTATTATTTATTTAAATAAGTAGAGAACGAATTCATTTTCTAAAATAAATTAAAGTAAAAATTTGCAAATTATTAACTTTCAATTTAGTTTCTTTTAGTCACTCACTAACACTTAATAATAATTTTTTAGATATTTTTTTCAGTAATATAAATGAGTAAATTTTTCTTAGAATCAACACACAAAAATTACGTGTTTTTATAAATAAAAAATTGTAACAAATCCCACATTGGAGAGACTTCCTTACTAGGGAGGTCTTATAAGGTAGGAGGTTCTCCAACCTCTTAAACTAGCTTTGAGGGATGACCTTATGATTATGATTGGTACATTATCTTATGTACTTTTTTTTTCATTTTTTTACTTTTATGATAAGACTCACATGTACACACATAGGCCCACTAACAAGGAAACTAGCCCAAGATGCAAAATAACAAACCCACCCCAACGCTAACAACACCCAAAGCGATACCAACGGAACCAGGAAAAATCGTAGAAGCGGAATGTTATTGCGGAGACGACACCAAAGAAGTTGGGCCTGACCTCTCATCCGAGCAAGGAGATGACCCATTTTCTGATGGTGTTGTACAGGTGGAGAAAGGTAGTGACAGAAATGGTAAAACGGGTTAGATTTCGTTCTTCTACAAAATGGTAGAATGAGGCTGACTGGTTCACTGGTGATTTTAAAAAATATTTATATATTAAAATTAAAATTATTATATTTTTTATATTATTGAAATGTTTAAATATATTATAATTTAAATTATCAAAATTAATCAATTAAATTTAAATTATTTATTATAATTAGTTATTTTAATATATAAATATAATAAAATTTTCAATTTATCTAATACAAATATTAATTAATAAATAAAAAGTTAAATTTATTCATATAATTAAAAATATATTTTTTAACAGAATATATATATATATATATATATATATATAATTTTATATAAAAAAATTATTGGTAAGATAATATGATAGTTTGTCCTTTAACGAGACGAATTAGGGTATGTAATCCATCTATGATGGATCAGCTTGCGCATGTTCTATTTTTGACGGGATAGAGACGGGACGAACCAAAATGGGATGAACTATTCCGTTTTGTCATCTCTAGCGAGTGAGTGTGTTTGTTTAGTGTTTAAAGTCCAAAACGATAATGTTTTACTTTTGATTACCTTTGTTGTTTTGAACGTTGCCCGATGAAGAAAAAAAACATAATTTCACAAAAGTAAATTTTGAATCACTACCATCAATCTTTTTTATAATGTTGTTAGTATTGCATAAAAACTAGGATGGTAAAACGAGATAGACCCGATAAGCTAACCCGTTAATATATCATAAATATGATAGAACAAATTGATATTTTTATTCTGTCCGCCTCTTTTAAGTTGTTCCGTCAATTTTGTCAAACCAACTCACGAGACAGTTCAACCCACAATCCGTTAGTTGAAAACTTTTTTTTATTGAAATATAACTCATCACAAAAATAATATATAAGTTTTATATAAAAGGATTTCCAATTTTGTGTGGTGTTAAAGATAAGAAAGAGAAAGATAAAGATGGAAAATGAAAAAAATATAATGAAATCTAATAATTTTTTAATATTAATTATTCTTAACTTCGTGACTTCAATTAAACATATAAAAATTATTCATGAAAATTTTATCAAATAAAAAATATAATATAATTTTTTTTAAGTATTTAAATGTTTCAATATTAAAAATAAAGATTTTACAAATTTTCACATTATCTAAATATAATTGTTATTATTTATTATTATATAATTTATATCTTAATTTAATTATTCTAAATTATAATTTGTTAATATAACACGGAAATCTATATTATTAATTTAAAATATGTATATGGAATGTTTGACAAATAAATAATAAATATATTATTAAATTTATTAAAAAATTTAATAAAATAAGACAAGTAAATTAATTTTAAAAATAAATCAAATTGACACAGACTGACTCATGATGAATACTAATCCTCCTTCTTTATTAGCAAAATTGAATGACGAACTTAATCTCACCACGAAAGAAAGACAAAAGTTAAGATAAAAAAACCTTAAAAATTAGAATACACAAAATATATATTTTTATTTAATCAAACACTTATTCATACATTTCCTATATGCACTCACCTTCTTCTATTTTTATTAAATCTATCCAACACAACATATCCACACTAAGATTTCACCACTAAATTAAAGAATTTTTTGTTTATCTTATAAGACCTAGAAATATATCCAATGGAGTTATTTAATTTAAATTCAAATTCAACTCGAAGAATAACTAAAATAAGTGAAAAGAATCTGTAACATATATTTTATTTTTTTTATCACGTATAGTTAAATGATAAAATAAAAATATACAAAAATTAAATTAAATTATAATCAGATATCTTTAAATTATAAATTTTACTAAAAATATAAAATTATGTTATTGTTAAATCTAAAATTATATATAAAAAAATCAACAAAAGAGACATCGACAGTGATAAGAAATCGATAAAAAAATATATTATGAAAATAGAAAATTAATTCGGAAATGTTCTTCAAAGAAGATGATTGAGAGATATAAAAGAAGTTAAAATATCATTAATTAAAAATTGAGAATGTAAGGATTGAAGAACATAAAAATAAAATAACAAGAAATAAAATATATATAAAAAATGTTATGTTAGATAATCTTTGAGTAGTGTATCAAGATATTTATAAAATAGTTATGATAAGTTTTTTGATATATACCATTATAAATTATACTTAATAATAAAGTGGAGCGAAGGAGAAACCGTTAAATGTTTTATTATTATTTTATTTTAGGTCACCTTAATGGTTACATTAAAAAAAAAAATATATATATATATATATATATATAATAAAATAAATGTAATTAGAATAATAGTTAAATTATACGAAGAAACTTACATTTTAAAAATTTTAATGAAATTTTTTATAATTTGAATAACTACTTTTATTGATTTTCTTTATGAATTTTTATTTTATTTTTGATAACGAGTTAAATTTATTTTCCTATCATTTACTTTTCTTATTGTTATCTTTTATTATTCTAACAATTTAATTTAGATGTTTAAAATTATATTAAATATAAAAAATATAAAAATTCAATGGGAGCCATCTCTAGTTCAAGTATATTATATCTTAATATAATATAAAAAATTTATTATGAAATAAAAAAGTTCAAGTCTTTAAGGATTCTATAAAACATTTTTATTAAATAAAAAAGTTATTATAAAATATTTTCAAATCATAAATATAAAAAATATAAAAAGGGAATGCGAGCCAAGTTCAAATATATTACATATTAAATTTTAAATAATATTAAAAAGTCGCATTAATGATTAGTTTCCAGAATTTAATTTAATTAAATCGAAAAGTTATCTAAAACATTTTTATTGAATAAAAAAGTTATTATGAAATATTTCCAAAAAATATATTTGACTTTTAAAGAGTGTCGTTGACTTGAAACCTATTTCTATGGGCCCAATGAGTGTAATATTCTGAAGGTTCATTCATGGATTCAAATGATAAAAAATAAAAAAAAGACTTTATTTTTCTGGTCTTTCATAGTATTATATTTTTAACATATAAAATTGAAAAAAAATTGCTTATTCCAAAAAAGATAGAGAAACCAATCACATAAGATAACAACTGAAGAAAGATTAGTTCTACGAATTCCAAATCTAAACAGAAATATAAAAAAGATATACTTTCATTCTCTTCTTAATGCTATCAGACAACGACATATAAACAATCGAAATTACCTGTCATATTGTTTCTTTCGTTTGGAATGATGAATATTAATGACGACATTTAAATGTCTAGCTTTGAAGTGAAGAATATCCCAACCTATGTTAGTTAGAGACTAATAGTAATTTAACATAATAATTTACATTACAATAACCAAAATTTGATGCTTAAATTATTTTTTAACCAAAAGCTTAAACTCAATTCTTAAAATATATGAAACTCATAAATATGACATAACTTTATAATATAAGTTGGTATTTCCTAATTGACATGAATAATATTTCGGATTATCTATAATTGAAGTATATATATATATATCTATATAAACACTCCGATTAAATATAATCAATTTGTGTTGAATATTTTAAATGTCATGTCACAGAAAAATAACAAAGATTCAAAAAGCAGATGTATTATTCTGTAAATCATCGATTGCCAGATACATGCAAAGGATTTTCAAATAACTGGTTCCATAATTCAAATAATGATTGATTGTATTATTAGCAGATTATGATTTATGGACTTCACCAACCTTCACATGTGATGGATATTGTTATATGAATATTTTATATAAATAGTTCAAAACCTGAATATTAATTTAAATTAAGTTCCTATGACAAGTTGTTATTATTAATATTATATATAACTAAACTAAATTTGCTTCTTCAACAAATACATATAGTTTTGTCACAAGTTTCTGATTCCAGATTATTGACTTAATAAAGAAGAGTAATTTAATGGTGTCTCTTGAGATGTGAGCAATCCACCATTAATTTATTTTATTTTATTTGTAATAGAGAGTAATCTTTTGAAAAATACTGACAGAGTTGAAAAAACACATTTTAAATATAATTCTTAGCAGAGTCATACTGAAAGAGTTGAAAAAATAATATAAATATAGTTAATCAGCAATATTAAATAATCACCACCAGTATAGTAAGTAATACTGTTTAGCGCGTGGAAGGAATCTCCTTAATATAGAGCGTGAGCAATGCGTTGCTTCTGTTCGAGTAGAGAGACTAACTGTGAGCTTTTTTTTTTTTTTTTTTTATTCCTAATAAAAACCGAAACCCAGGAAACTCGTCAAGAACCACCTCTGCGACAATCTCTGAGAAGCAAAAGCTTGCTACAAGCCCAAATCCGAAACCATATTTTTTAATTATTACTAGAGTGATTGTTGATTAGTATATCGTAAGTTAAATTTGGTGCAAAGATAACGTGGTGAAGGCATCTATTTTGCTTCAAAAATTGCATTTGGTGACCAATTAAGTCGTTGGTCTTTCGCTTTCCCTATCTGATCAAGTTCCCCCTGGCCCTTTTGACTTCTTCTGAAGCAACCCTTTTATTATTGCTTCCTTTTTAAGCTATTTGCCATGGTGGGTCTTGGGCTGTTCCCCTGGGTTCCCTCTGGTCAGCTTCGACTGAGAAGTGGCTCGTAGAATTGGAGTTGAATCTTGGGGATTTGATATGGTTGCCGTTCAAAGATTGGAGCTTTGTTCGTGCAAGAGGAGGAGGGGGCTTGGATTTTTGTTTCAGATTGCATTTTGGTGGTGGGTGATTCTACTGTTAGTTAATTCTGCGGCGGCTCTCAGACCCTTGAGGGAGAGAACTAGGTCCTGGGATGATGAGGTTTGTTTAGGAGCTTGTCTTTAATTTCAGTTTTTTTATTGAGTATGGTAATTGAACAATGAGGATGCACGTGCATTCAAAATTTTTTTTTTTTTTTTTGAAGTTGTAATGATGAAGATTTGTGCCTGCATTTTAATTATTGTCAGTTACGAATTGCATTAGCTGCTGTTGCTTTATGCAGTTGTGATTTGTGACAGTAGACTAGACACTACGAACATGAAATTTGAAGTTTAGTTCGGTTAAAACTGATGTTAATTAAATGTGTTTAGAATGCTTGAACCTAAGGAGAGTGGTAGGCGTTAGTTTAGTTTGTTTAGAATGTTTCTACATGGTGTTGGGAGAGAATGGGTGAGGAGAAGAATAAAGAAAGTGCTGCGCTGACAAGGTACTTCTGTTTTATTTATAGAATTGTATGTCAATGTGTACTTTAGGTATACATTTGAATATATCTTTCATATGTAACTCTTAAGGTGTCAAGCGATGAATTTTTTTTCTACAATTTCATTAACCACACGAATCATTGTTATATCATTGTATTTGCTATCATAGATTAATATATTGGGCTATCGACAATCAGCAATCATAATTGGTATTTGTGAAATTTATTTTTCTTGTCCAACTAATACCTTTGTGCCCAGTTTTGTTGTTAAAAAAATGTTTTTAGAACCTGTAGAAAATAGTAACTGAAGCACATTGAATCTTGGAAAGGAAAATAATATATTTGCAATTAGGTTTATCCTAAAGGATGGAAGATATTGTTCCGTCACTTTTACCGAATTATCAGTACATCCAAGGATTTCACTCAATTGTACTTTAGCTTTACTGATATTTAATTTTTCTAAAGCCTGACTTATGATTAAAAATGATTTGAATTGATAAATTGGGAATTTTATGATTAAGTCAAAATCTGACTGAAGGATATCTCACTTCATTTGTATGTTATTGATATGTCACTTTCTCAGCAGCTGTTTACAACAAAGGACAAGAGCAATTTAGGTCCATTTTCACAATGGAACATAACAGGAACTTACAAAGGTTTGTATTCATTACTAACCTGAGTGTATGTGTGGTTTTCTGTTATATTTGAGTTATAGCTTTGGCTTGTTAATGTTTAGTGTAAGTTTTTCAGAGGATTATGATTTATGATTGAATAACAAGAAGTAACTGGTGTATAATAATATTGACCATTAGAAAATCTTTTGTGTTTGCTTGATTTTTGGAATGAGTTCATGCTTTAGTTGTCTTTTTTTGGGGGCAAACATGTTGCTAAATGCTGTAGTTACCTTTAAGCCTATGTTTTACATGTTCTTAATCTGCTTCCATTGGACAGAACATAACAAAGGCAGAAGGGAAAGCATCCAGGCTAACTGGGCTGCATGCTGCCTCAAATTAACTAAATGACTTAAGACATTTGGAAAGATCATGTAATTTTGAAAGTAATTCTGTGCAATTAACTGAAATATGTTTCATTTCCAAATGGTGTCATTTGAATGAACTTACTTTGTCCATTATCTTTTTCTGGTATAAATTTCTCTGTTTTTTGAAGTCTGAGGATGTTTGTATGTTGACCTCTTGAAATGCAGGGACTTGGAAATTTTTGGATACCACAAATGGCTCTTCCAGATTTCCAGACATCAGAAAAACAAATGGGAATTCTGTAATTGAGTTAGTTACTACTCCTACAAAGATAAGTGGAGTACATTATGTACAGGTGAGATGTTGAACTATATTGCTAATTTCACAGGAATTCATTTTCTTATTTGTTCAACTTAAAACTTCATTTATTTTTTATGCATTTATTGGAAATATTGATGCCTTTGCAGTTCCTATGAGTCTTGTCCTTTAGTTATTCCAAAGAACTAACAAACTCTTTCTATTATATTATTTCATTTACTAAACTGTAGTTTCTCCCATTGTGATGTCAGCTTGTGTGTTTATTAGGTTGGCCTTTTATGGATGCTTAAATGTTTTTTTGAATGGAGAGGGAGTGCTATAAATTTATAACAAATAAGTCAAACTTGAAAAAGGCTGACCTTGATTAGAGTAACTAATCTGATTTCTTAATGACAGTTCTGATGAAAATGAACTTTGTACACTAGTTTGTCTGAAAATATAAGTATGTGACATGTGATTATTTGTCACATTGCATCTCTAATTTGCCTATACCTTTTATGTTTTCATCTTTTGCTTTCTTCATCTCTAAATTCATCTTTTCTTGAACATTACATCTCCATTTTATCCATGTGAAAATGAACAGTTAAAGTCATTCTTAATTGAATGAAACTGTCTTTTGCTAGTTTTGTCATTATAGTGAGTTGTATACTCATTTGGACACATATCTACGTTCATATTTTATGGTCGGAGAGGCTAATAATCTGTAGATGTCCTAGGGATCATTTTGTTTCTGAGTCAAGTGTGTTTTTTCATACTTCTAATACATTCACAATACATGCACAATAATCTAGCTCGAACTCTATATTTTATATATCCTAAAGCAAACAATTCACGCTTTCATCTCACGATAGAATATTAATGTTATATTTGTGAAGAAGTTAGACTTTCAATCATGTCCTTATTACTGTTTCAGTAAAATAGTCCTTATTCTTCTGTAACAGTTTATTCCTTGTTTTTCGTTTGTTTTTCATCAGGGGGTGGTTATATTCCATGATGTGTTTGACAATGAATACGATGTTGGTGGTGCCCAAATCAGAATAGAAGGTGTATACATATGGCCTTTTAGACAGCTTCGAATGGTCGCCAACAGGTAAATTTCATGGATATCATCAATATGATATACAAACCAAATTTATATTGAGTTCAAATTGGGTTATAACTTAAATTTTTCCTGATTGTTTCAAATTTAAAATTTCTTTTGTCCAAATTTGACATTTCATCTTAAATCAGTTTTTTTTCTTTGTTATACTTATTTAATTTGTTTATTTGATAGACAAATTCTGTGTGCAATGAAATTCATATGGAAGATGGCCTGAGGCCATTGAAACTTTATGTTAGAAAAAATGGATAGGCTGAGAGATTCTATATGAAGCAGTTACATTTTATGGTGTGACGGACCACCTGCTGGACGTAGTTAATGTTTCAGTTTGTTGCTTGTGGTGTTTTGATTTTGAAGGAGGAAATTCCTCATTAGGATGGAATCCTTGGTAGTTGATGTACTGTTTCTCCAAATCTGTTCTGTAAAATATAACTATTTCTGTGTGTTTCCTTGAGTCCAACTGACATGGCTATATTTCCATATTGGCTTACAATTTCTGAATGTTCTGAAGAGTTTCTCTTGTTTCCTCCTGTTGCAGTGGAAAAGAAGGGGAGTTGAATCATAATGAAGATTATATTTTATCTAATCCATATCATCTGGTAACAATGTTTCTTCTTACACCCTTGATCTTTTACATTTATAACCTGATTACATTACATGGCTTACAATAATCTTAACAGATCTTCGATCTAGTTGATCAATTTCTGTTCCTGTTTTTAAACAGTTTTTTACTCTTTTTCACTGATATTTCCAAGCCCTAGATTTGAATGTTTAGTGAATAGGTTTTATCAAAAAATTTGTCATTTTCACAGGCTTGAATTTTCAGTGACATAAGCTTGTCAATTAATGCTGATCTTAGCTTTGTTGGATTAGCATATTTTCTGTAAAACATTTGAAGCTGGAAGTCAGAATATGTATGTTGTAATCATCCATCCCAATACCCTAATAAGATTCTTATCATATGAAGTATAATGTTGCAGTTTAAAATTTCCATAGCATCATTATTTATAATTTCCAAATGTTTTGAATCCTTTGTCATCTCAAAAACTTGCTAAAGATGGATATGGATGTAAATATTTAATGTTGTGTAGTTTTTCTTAGTTTAAACAAATCCATTTGAAGAGAGTAGCTGCTAGCAAATCCTTAATATTTTTATGTGAATGTAAAGAAATATGGTCTTTCACAGTGGGGATCTCTGCACGAACATGCTAACGGATTGACCAGCTTTGCTCCGTTGATGTTATCTTTAGCTTTTATTATAAAAAATAGTGAGCACTCATATAATTATTTTCTTCATAAATGGATTTTGTACACAGCTAGGAGTTTTCTCATCTCAGGTACTGCAAGATTCTTCGCGAGATAAGATGTGGAGAAGAAAACATTGTAATTTTTCTAAATACCAGTATACCTTGAAGCCCAACCCATCCCCCTCCTTTTTTATTTATGGCTGTAGTTGTACTATTGACTTGCTATTTTACCGTATTGGGTACTGCAGCACTGATTCATGACACGGAGAAACATTGTAACATCGAAATTGCTGCTCAGATTTCACACTTGCCATCATCAAATAGTGGTACTTGTGTTCTCCCTGCATATGAATACTCTCTTCTATATTAAGGAGTCTGTCATATACAAAGATTGGAAAACTCTTTTGCACTAAAAATATTCTCTTTATTTTATATTCTTTATCTTGTTTAGACGGATTGCTTAATAATCCTCGCATATACTCTTCCATTTTAATAAAATAACTTCTATCATAACCATTTTTTAGTGTCCATGGTATGAATTCATTGCTGTTATGAAACTTCACCTACCAATTGCTATGTATATGAATGTAGAAAATATGTTTAATTTGTTTAGTATCCATTGAGTGCATTGTTCTTGTGGATTAAATTTTATTTATATTGTTCTTCTTTTGATTTACTAAATTGTTACCTTATTTCTTACAGAAGGTGAACATGATCATTTTCATCTAGAAGGGTTAATGGAGAGCCCCTCTGCAGATGATGATGGGGACTGCTTCTCACCATTACTGTTAAATGCAACATCTGTCAAAATTGAGGTCTACTATAACAAAGCAGTGAACTATACCTTGATGGTTACTTTTGTATCCTTCCGTCATGAATATTCTTACAGCTTTATGTCTCTGTCATAATCCATTATGGTGTGAGCTCCTTAATATACATATACCAGGTTTCTTTCTTACAAGTCCTTCTATTAATTCGTCAAATGGAGCATAGCAGCACTCAATCTGTAAGAATTTGCTTTGTATTTTTCCTGAAACTTCACCTGCCATAGAATTAATATTTAATGGAATCAATATAAATTTTTTCAATAGTTGGGATAAATGTATCAAACAATATTTGAAAGTTCACATGCCATAGATTTCATAAATTTGTAAATACGTACATGTGATTATAGAAGATTAATTTGGTTTAGATATATCTTTACAGGGTGCTGCTAAGGTTTCAATATTAATGATTGGCCAGCAAGCAATAATGGATGCCTATCTTTGCCTTTTACATCTCACTGCAGGAATACTAGTTGGTAAGTTATAAATTTCACAACTAGAGGTTGCTCTACAGACTATTTTCTCTCGCCCCTCCCAAACAGATGTCCATTATGTTTATAGACTAGGAGGTACCAGTTTTCGAAAATATATTGACAATCCTTTCTAATTGAAAAGGGCCCTCCAGTAATTTTCTGTGCCCTTAATTTTGTTGACTGAACCAGCAGGCAAGTAATTTACCTTGTGGGTGCTCATTTGTGTAAGCATCCAAACATTCATACCTGAAAACTGGTCCATGCCCGTATAGAAAGAAGATTCCAGGTTGAACAATTCAATGCCTGCACCTTTTAATACCATATTTGCACCTTCTAACTATTAGAATAAAGAGAAACTGTATTGTACTATTGACAAACTGAAAGCCAAAATACGAGAGTGAAGTCAGCTGATCTAGAGAGATTAACGACCTGTAACTAACTATGAATAGTTACATGTAAAACTATTAAACAAAGTGACTCAACAGATATATAAGTCGTATCTTAAGAAGCAATGTGGGACTTCCTACACCCCCTCAATTGATGCTTGAGAGGCGAGCCTACCAGAATAGGCTATTTTCCTTTATATAACCATATCTTGTTTCCCATCCTTTAGTTCCTAATAAAAAACTTAGTTGTGGTGTACATATTGCAGTATACAACATCAAAAATACTTATTGTTTGCAGGGTTTTTAACTACATCTCATTTTGCAAGTTTAACTTTTTTTGGGGGTGGGGGGTTGTTCATGGTATGGGAAGAAAATTTTGATACATGTTGAATATGTAATGCTGTGTTTCATTGATTGTTGTAATATTTTATTGTACATTCAATTGCATTGTTCTTTAGTAATTGCTTATTCTTCTTTTGTATGGTAAAATTGTTTGCTGAATAGTTGTAGCTGCTTCTTGCCCTGCAGAATCCTTGTTTAATGCTTTTGCAACTGCTGCATTTTTCAAGTTTGTAGTCTTCTCAATATTTGAGATGAGATACCTCCTTGCCATCTGGAAGGCAAGTAGGCCTTTGAGTAATGGTGAAGGTTGGGAAACAATGAGGCGAGAACTTTCAGTTTTATACAGTCGATTCTGTAAGTACTCGTCTAGAATTAAATTTTCTGTCCTGATAAATGGTTTGTGATCTCCTCATGAGTTTTTCATTGTGTCATTGTGTCCCTGGGATGCATGATCAAGTTATGTTATTTCCTCTGTGGTTGAGCGTTGATGGCCACTCTAATTTGAGCCAGTCAGCTTTAAGTTAAACTACTTTAATTGCTGTTTTACTGATCAAGATTGATTTACATTGAGTTTATTTTTGTTATCAGAGTAGAAAACCTACTATGCTTTCTTAAAAACTATCAATGTTATAATAACTGCATGTAGAAGCAGAATCAGAAAATTAGTTTTAGGGGGTTCAACCCCTCCCTCCGCCTCTGACTGCATGTCATTTCTCATTCGAATTGCTCTTTTAAATGCCATTAAATAAGCAATAAATTTAATGTATTTCTTACTGTTAAGATTCCAACATAAAACCAATTGGCAATATGTGGATTAGTCTAACATGTATTTAAACCATACCAAATGACATGAGGTAGGCGATGTGGGACTTTCAACACACCCCCTCCAACGAAGCCTGCCGGACCAGGCAAAGGGTACTTTTGACCCAACTAAAGGGCAACTTTTGGCCCATGACAATAACCGGAAAGATGTTAGGCTTTGGCTCTGATACCATGTTAAGATTCCAACATAAAACCAATTGGCAATATGTGGATTAGTCTAACATGTATTTAAACCATACCAAATGACATGAGGTAGGCGATGTGGGACTTTCAACACTTACTATGTATTTTGTCCAATGTAAACCAGTGAACTAACACCACGCATTAGCAGAGGGTCACCAAGCACTATGATACATGAGCTAAGGAATGGCAATATGTTTCCATTCAAATGAATCCTTTTTGTACTTTAGATTCTGTGTTTTCATATCCAAATATTTCCAATATGTTTTATATTAATATCTCTAAACTTTTGTTTTTAACCGAGCCTAATGATGTCATTTGTCTATGTAACCAACCTCACCTAGTTAGATAAGACTTTGTTCTTGTTGTATATTCCACTGTAAAAGAGTGCCAAAGAACTGTAGCTATTTGTTTCTTGTTGTTTTAATGGAAAGATTTTCTTATGAAGAAGAGGAACTCAAAATTAACAGTTTAACTTCTTCTGCAGATGGGATCTTGTTGGGAGGCATTCTACTCATGTATGAGTTCCATAATTATTTGAGACCTATTCTTCTTCTTATGTACTCTTTTTGGATACCTCAGATAATCACCAATGTTATTCGTGATTCACGCAAACCATTGCATCCTCATTATATCTTAGGGGTAACTGTCACTCGGCTAGCAATCCCATTGTACATTTTTGGTTGCCCTAACAACTTCATGCGCATAGAACCAGACAAGAGCTGGTGTGTTTGTTTGACTGTATTTATTGGCCTTCAAGCTGCAATTCTCTTACTTCAGCATTATCTTGGGTCACGTTGGTTCATTCCTCGACAGGTTGGGCCCAACTACCTCTTCTCAATACTTTTATCACCAATTAATTGTTACCACGTTCAGAATTCTAAAATCTAGTTGCCTCTTCTGAAAGGCTGAGCTTAAACAGAGCATAGTAGCATCATTTTCTTCATGTAATTAGCCCCATCTAGTGGGAAAATACTTGTATTGTATATTTTAGTTGTAACGGAGGTTCTGTTGAAGTGTTTCATAGACATCCTTGACCATAAGCATCATTGTGTTGTATAGAGTAATAACATTGTATTATCCTTATCATTTAGGAATCTGGTTCTGGGCTTTATTAGGTGAATCTATATCTAGCATTTTGTTTTTTTAATTCTGAATTTGCATGAATGTTTTATCTTCATGATTTGCAGATTCTCCCTGAGAAATACAGCTATTATAGGAGGTTTGATCATGAAACAAGACATGCTACAGACTGTGTGATTTGCATGACAGCCATTGATCTTTCCCAGCGATCCAATGATTGCATGGTAAGTGACTATAAATATAAAGAATAAATTATGCTGACACTTCCTATCGTTTCTTAATATTGCACATGATACCCTTATCTTTTTAACCCTTATGGTAACCCTTTTAATTGTTTTAAATACATTACACCGACACATCGTGTTATCCAAAAACACATTATATCCTGTACCAATGTAAAGGGAATAAAGAGTGTATAACCATCATTTTGTTAATTCAAATTAAACTTTTACAACATGAACCAATTCTAATTCAGAGACTGTTACACAGGTGACACCTTGTGATCATTTCTTCCACTTTGGCTGTTTGCAAAGATGGATGGATATAAAGATGGAGTGTCCAACTTGCCGGCGCCCATTACCCCCTGCCTAAAGACCATTCTTCACTATTTATGTCAATAGGATTAACTGACGCTGCTCAACTTCTTAGTTTAGTATATGCTCAAGTGACCAAGTTTACATTGTTTTACATTTAATATCGAGAGAAGTGAAATCACACCTTTTCATTTAGTATAGGCTTTGGTGGTCAACCTTTTCTTCTCATGTCCAGGACTGAATGTTTCTTAAGGTCATACAAATTTTGTAATTTGATTTTGCCACCTTATCCCTGATGCCGAGGGTATGTAAATAATTTGCAAGGGCCATGAACATTAATTGTATTTTTTTTTCTCAATACAAAATTTATTCTTATTCTTATTCTTCCTTTGTTAGTGTGTCCAACATGAAGTTATGGTGATTTTTTGGTAGTTTGCATTAGTGTGCTTATACGTGTTCTTCGTCAATCAAAAATATTATTTTGTTACCGAGGCCAATAAATATAAGTTTCTTACAATTGAAAAAAAAAACAAATTATATAAACAATTCTCTTCAATTTTTAGGTAATCGTACTTTGTAGGAGACTCTTTTGATCTCTTCAATATAGTTGTTTTTATCCAGTCAATTTTTTTTTTTCTCCTAAATAGTTGGGAAACCTGTCCCTAAAAGCTAGCTATTAAGGGGCGACAACTAAGCATAAAAAGCTCTACCAAACATCTCATATGACGTGATATGAAGTTTAGACATTTCGTAAGTTTATTATAATACTATTTTTTTAGAAATAATTTTTAAATTTTATAATTAGTCTGTTATTATTTTTTTTAAAAGCGGTAAATTGGAAGATAATGGTGTATATAAATTATCTTTAACTTTGATTGTAAAGTAATGTAGGATTTACGGATTTAAGGCAGAAAGGGGCAAAAGAGTCATTAGCTAAAAAGAGAGGGTGAGAAGCACGTGGAGGAAGGGAAATTGGAAGTCAGGAGGGTCTCGGGTCAAAATAACAAACACTATATTGAAAGATTTTCATTGGTTGAAAGAATAATATTAGAGAGACCCTTAGAAGAGAGAGGAAGGGAAAATGATATTAATGGTGATCCATTCTCTCTCCGGATGTTTCTTGTTTTGTTTTTTGTTGTAATTCCTAGGATTTGCTACACTTTTTCTGTGTGTTGCTTGTTGTAGACAATTTACTAATGAGGATGAATTTCATTATTATGTTATTTTCTTAACTGTTTTATGGTTTTCTTATTTGATACCTTATTACATTGGTGCTCCCGTTACGTCGTGGAGAAAAACCTAACATGAAAGAGTTAATCGCAGACGTCAAACGAATTCTAGAGATAATGGAATCATGGGAGAAGGAGTATGCTGCCCGTTTTGAAAAATTGGAGACGATTGGAGATGATCCTCAAGCAGCAACTTGGTGCATATTCTGGCTTGCCCAACAATAGACATAATTAACTATTTCAGATTAGGAGCGTTAAGCTTGATTTTCCCAAATTTGATGAATCTGATGTTCTTCAATGAATATTTAAGGTTGAACAATTTTTCAATTATTATCAAACCCAAATGACCAACGTTTAATGATTGCTCAATTTATTTATAAAAAGAGGTCGTTCTTAGTATTAAATAATGATTCGTGAAAATCCTTTTCACTCGTGGAATGCTTTTACAAAAGCTTCATATGAGGATTTGCGATTGCAATTGTTTAAACTCACTCAAGTTAGCTCAGTCCAGGCTTATTACATGCAATTTACGACACTAATTAATCAAGTGCAGGGAGTTACTTAAGAAGCACTATTGGATTGCTTTGTTAGAGAAACATAATATCTGAAGGGATGTGATTGCCCAAGCACCAACTTCACTTCTCAGAACCATCTCATTGGCCAAATTATATGAAGAAAAATACACCAATAAACCTAGACCATTCTCCTCCAGCTTTTTGACCAAAACACAAGCCACAAATATATACCAAACCATCAATCTTTAAAATTCACAAGCTTACCCCACTATTAATAGCCCCAAATTATAAGCCAAACAACGAAAAAAGTTAACCTCTGCCGAAATACAATTAAGAAGAGATAAGGGCCTCTGTTTCACTTGTGATGACAAATTTTCTCCTCACTACAAATATCCTAACAAATAGTATTTTATTTTGCAATGGAAAGAAGATGAAGAACTAGAATTGTAGCTAGAGCCACATGATATTATAGAAGCAATTGTAGATATGGGATCACAAAACTATCATTTGTCCTATAATGAACTAAAGGTTGTCCAGGTCCAGGGACAATAAAATTTTAATGGTCAATTAATGGGGTTGTAATTCCAAATATTATTAGACAATGGAATCTCAAATAACTTCCTTCAACTGAGAAGAACTTAATTTTTAAAATTTTCAATGGAACCAATTCCCAATCTACAGGTTTTGGTTGGAAATGGAAAGTCATTAGTAGCTGAAAGGCCTAATCCAAGATTTGGGGGTGAAAATCCAAGGACATACATTAAACTTGCTAGTGTATTTGCTACCGGTCTCTGGTGCTGATTTGGTGTTAGGTGCCACTTAGTTAGCAACAATTAGACCATATCTATCTGATTATAGTACTCCGACATTGAGATTTTACCTGGGCAACCAATTTATACCTTACATGGAGAAAAACTTGCCCTACCACAACCTGTCCAGTTTAACTGCATGAGGAGAATGCAACATACTCAGGCAATTGTAGAATTATTCACCTTACAGTTTTTCCATATGGATGACCCAAATGATAACTTTTTAAAATTGCCACCTGACATGGAACCAGAACTTGCTATGCTTCTATACACTTACAGAACAGTTTTTTATGTTCCATCTGGGTTACCGACAAACAGATCTCAAAATCAATCTATTCCATTAGTTGAAGGAGTTGGACCAGTGAAGGTGAGACTCTATGATATCTGCATAGCAGAAAGGATCAAATAAAAGTGATGATAGTTGATATATTGAAGGAAGGGATCATTACCCCTATCACGAGCCATTTTTCCTCTCCAATCATTCTTGTAAAAGAAGGATGATGCTTGGAGATTTTGCATAGATTATAAAGTCTTAAATGTCATCACAATCAATGATAGTTTTCTTATTCCAACTATTGATGAGTTATACAGAGCTACCTATTTTTCTAAGTTGGACTCAAGATCTGACAATCACTAAATTCTTGTAAATGAAAAGGATAGGCATAAAACAATCTTCAGGGCATATTAGGGTCACAATGAATGGCCTAACATGCTATTTGAACTCACAAATACCCCAACTACTTTTCAATGCTTGATGAATGAGATTTTCCAATGTTCTGTAAGAAAGTTTATCTAGGTATTTTTTGATGATATACTTATCTATAGCCCCACGAGTTCATCCCATTTGCAACACTTGGAGGTGGTTCTTAAAATCCTACAACAACATAAGTTATATGCCAAACTCTCGAAATATTCATTTGGAGTTGTTAGATATTGTTTAGATATTATTTAATATCGTTAAGATATTGTTAGATATTAACCATAATATCAAACAATATCTTCTGTTTATTCTGTTACTTTCAGTTACTCTTTTAGTTGTATCTCTCTACTATAAATAGACTACCCTATGTGTGATTTATACACAAGGGAGATTAATCCCAAACTCTATTTCTTCTATATTCAACATGGTATCTAGAGCTTAAGGTTATTTTGAATTTTTTTTCCGCCTTAGACCACTATTGAAGTCGCCACCACCGCCGCTATCGTTGTCGGTTATTTGGTAGTGTGAAAGTGCATGTCTAGGAAAGTTCGACAAGGAAAGACTTGGTATTTAAGCGTGTCCATTAGTGACCCACCTCTCTTTCCCGGGAACTTACCTGGTGTACTCGGTTCACGCCGCTGTCACTATCGCCTTCGCCCTTTATGAGTTCTTCCGCTCCTTTTAGTACTTCCAATTCTGTCAGATCGCATCTCGATCCTTCCATCTACACTAACTATGTTAATGTGCACTTATCCATTGACAAGTTAACCGGCCCTAATTATGCCACATGGTCATCGGACGTCGATTATGGCTTAAGAGTCGAAGTATCTTGATCATCTTGCCCGAAAGCACCTACTCTCACTCCTGGTGAGGAAGACCGTTGGGACACCATTGATGCTCAATTATGCGTGGTTCTCAAGGGTACCCTTGATCCTTCGTTAAAACAAATTTTTCGTTCCTACGAAACATGTGCAAAAATCTGGGAACATGCCAAGTTATTATACACCAATGATACTCAACGTCTCTATGATGTCTGTTCTAAATTTGTAGATGTTATTTCCTCTAAACATCAAGATTCTATGACTCGATTATATGGGCAAAATTCATGCTCTTTTTCATGAGTTCAATGAGTTATTGCCTCCTTCCCCGACCCCGCCACCGAGATAGGACAACGATCAAAGTTCTTCATGCTAGGGGCATTACACGGACTTGCCGATCAATATTCACATATTCGTGATCGGATTTTGGGTTCTCCGGTTGTCCCCACCTTGACATCGACCTGCTCCACTCTTTTGCGTATACCAGACAAAACTCAACCCCGACACACCTGCTTCGTTAATGATTCTTCCGCATTGGTATCTCACCGTGATGATCGAACTCGCCCTCGCAAACAGGGAAAAGGACGTCCTAAGTGTGAACATTGTGGCAAGCTAGGTCACAAGATTGACCAGTGTTATGCATTACATGAGTGTGAACATTGTGGCAAACTAGGTCACAAGATTGACAAGTGTTATGCATTACATGGTCGTCCTACTCGATCTACTGCAGTTGCTCGGACCGATTTTTTCCCACCTTTATCTCGCTAAGGATCCTCCTTCTTCTATTTCATCGGACACACCTCGCTATGTTCAACAAATTTCTCAAATGGTATAAGGATCAACAGTCTTCTAGTTCTCATCGTGTCTGTCGCACACACAGTACATCTTTTGTTGGTCCGACCCAATCTTCTTCTCGGTCCTTGGGTTTTTGATTCAGGAGCCACTGATCATATTACTGGTAACAAATCTTTGTTCTCCTCTTTATCCTCTCCCGATCCTTTACCTTTTGTTACACTAGCCGATGGCTCTAGAGTATCATCTCATGGTGTTGGAACTGTTAAACTTTTCCCTTCTTTAACCATTGATAATGTTCTTTATGTCCCTGGGTCTCCTTTTAACCTCGTTATCCATCAGTCGTCTAACTCGTTCTCTTGATTGTGTTGTTTCTTTTACCAACAATTTCGTGTGTTTACAGGACCGGAGTTCGAAACAGGTGATTGGCACAGGATGTGAGTCTCATGGTCTTTATCATCTTCGTCCCTTTACACATGTTGGTGCAGGTTATAGAGTCTCCCTCTCTTCTCCATGCTCGGTTAGGTCATCCAAGTCTTGCCAAATTACAGCAACTTGTCCCTGCCTTATCTAAATTGTCTAGTTTGGCATGTGAGTCGTGTCAATTAGGCAAGCATATTCGTACTTCCTTTCCTCGTAGTGTCACACGTGGTGCTTCGTCCCCTTTTGCCGTGGTTCACTCTGACATTTGGGGACCTAGCCGCGTTAAGTCTACTTTAGGTTTTCAATACTTTGTTACTTTCATTGATGATTATTCCGGATGTACTTGGTTATTTTTGATGAAAAATCGTTCTGAATTATTTCATATCTTTCAAACTTTTTTCAATGAAATTCAAACTCGGTTCGGTGTTTCTATTAGAGTTTTGCGCAGTTGATAATGGTCGTGAATATCTTTCTCATTCTTTTAAACAATTCATGGCTTCTCATGGTATTTTGCATCAAACTTCTTGTGCTTATACACCTCAACAAAATGGTGTAGCTGAACGTAAAAATAGACATCTTATTGAAACAACTCGCACTCTTTTAATTCATGGAGAGGTTCCTCAGCATTTTTGGGGTGATGCTCTTCTTACTCGCATGTTATCTTGTTAATCGCATGCCATCTTCGGTTCTAGATAATAAAATACCTCATTCCATTTTATTCCCTCATGAACCACTTCATCCCTTACCTCTAAAAGTTTTCGGGTCTACATGTTTTGTTCATAATTTTAGTTCTAGTCTTGACAAGCTTTCTCCTAGATCACATAAATGTGTTTTCTTAGGGTTTACAAGATCACAAAAAGGATACAAATGTTTTTCTCCTTCTCTTAACCGTTATTTTGTGTCTACAGATGTCACCTTTGATGAGTTCTCTTTTTATTTTAAAAGTCAATCTTCACCTCTGTCTCCATCCAATATTGTCAACACTCCTAGTACATTTAATGTTCCTGTTGTTTGTGACCCTCTAATTGTGTCTTCTTCACCATTAGATTCTACTCCGCAGTCAACTTCTTCTTCACTACCTCTTCAGGTTTATAGTTGTCGAAACCAATCACAACCACCACCATGTGACTCTACTCAAGTGCCAACTACTCGTCTCCTCCGAATGTGACACCCGAGTCCGACCTTCCCATTGCCCTCCGAAAAGGTATCCGTTCTACACGTAATCCCTCTCCTCATTATATTGGTTTGAGTTATCATCGATTGTCATTACCTTTTTATACATGTCTTTCCTCTCTTTCTTCCGTGACCATTCCAAAACCGTCCGTGAAGCTTTAGCCCATCCTGGTTGGCGTCAGGCCATGTTAGATGAACTAAGTGCTCTTCATAATAGTGGAACTTGGGATTTGGTCTCGTTACCGTCTGGGAAATCTGTTGTTGGTTGCAGGTGGGTGTTTGCTATCAAAGTTGGACTCGATGGTACTATTGATCGCCTCAAAGCACGTCTTGTGGCCAAAGGTTATACTCAAATTTTTGGTTTGGATTATGGAGATACCTTTTCCCCGTGGCAAAGATGACTTCGTTCGTTTATTTATCGCCATGGCCGCTCTTCAACAATGGCCTCTTTATCAACTAGATGTTAAAAATGCTTTCCTCAATGGTGATTTGCAAGAAGAAATCTATATGGAGCAACCTCCCGGGTTTGTTGCTCAGGGGAGTCTTCTCGGGATGGTATGTCGTCTTCGCAAATCCCTATATGGCCTAAAACAGTCTCCTAGGGCCTGGTTTGGAAAGTTTAGCAAGGTTGTTCAACAATTTGGTATGACTCGGTGTGAAGCAGATCACTCTATCTTTTATCGACACTCAAGTGCTGGATGTGTTTACTTGATAATATATGTTGATGACATCGTTCTTACAGGTAGTGACAACCATGACATCTCTCGGTTGAAACAACATCTCTCGTCACCATTTTCGGACCAAAGATCTTGGCAAACTTAGATATTTCTTGGGTATTGAGGTGACACAGTCCAATGATGGTATTGTTATATCTCGGAGGAAGTATGCCATGGATATTTTAGAGGAAACTGGGTTGATGAATTCAAAGTCCGTTGATACGCCCATGGATCCCAATACTAAACTTTTACCAAATTAGGGGGAGCTTTTACCTGATCCTGAACAGTATAGAAGATTGGTTGGAAAATTGAATTATCTTACAGTTACTCGTCCTGACATTTCCTTTGCAGTCAGTGTGGTAAGCCAATTTCTTAATTCCCCATGTGAAGATCATTGGAATGCAGTCATTCGTATCTTAAAGTATATTAAAAGATCTCCTGGAAAAGGATTGTTATATGATTCTAATAACCATACAAGAGTTGTTTGCTACTCGGATGCCGATTGGGCGGGATCTCCTTCGATAGAAGATCTACATCCGGATATTGTGTCTCCATTGGCGGTAACTTGGTCTCATGGAAAAGTAAGAAACAAAGTGTTGTGGCAAGATCTAGTGCAGAAGCGAATATAGAGCTATGGCCTTAGCTGCTTGTGAACTTGTTTGGCTCAAGCAATTGCTTAGAGAGTTACAATTTGGAGATGTCACTCAAATGTCACTTGTGTGTGACAATCAGCCGCTCTTCATATTAGTTCTAATCCTGTCTTTCATGAGAGGACCAAACACATTGAGATTGACTCGTCATTTCATTCGAGAAAAGATTATGTCCGGAGACATCAAGACCGAGTTTGTTAACTCAAGTGATCAGTTAGCGAGATATTTTTACTAAATCTTTACTGGGTCCTAGAATTGATTATATTTGTAACAAGCTTGGCACATACGATTTGTATGCTCCAGCTTGAGGGGGAGTGTTAGATATTGTTTAGATATTATTTAATATTGTTAAGATATTGTTAGATATTAACCATAATATCAAACAATATCTTCTGTTTATTCTGTTACTTTCAGTTACTCTTTTAGTTGTATCTCTCTACTATAAATAGACTACCCTATGTGTGATTTATACACAAGGGAGATTAATCCCAAACTCTATTTCTTCTATATTCAACAGGAGTAATGAAGATAGATTATGTAGGCCAAACTGTATCGAGGAGAAGAGTAGCAATGAATTAAGAGAAGGTCCAAGCTACAGCAGTTGAGACTCCTTCCATCAGGAAATCAACCAAAATCCAGACACCCCTTTCTCAGCCGGCGCATGTGCTGTGACGGGAACCAAAGCCAAAGACTGTAAACCTCCATTGAAGTAACTACCAGTGGTAGAATAATTTCTGGAGTGATTAGGAGCAAGCCTGGACACAAGGTTAGACTGTCCAGATAACTTCTGAACTACTGATGGATGCCGCGAATGCAATCTATCCATCATTGCTGCACTTCAGTTCAGACGGTTATCTAGTGACATGTAAACAAAAATCACATCAACGGTGACGGGAAAAAAACAAAAAACAAAAAAAAAACTTAGCTGTGGTAAATTCCCTTCTCACTAATTTGATTTAAAAAGTGTTCTGTACTACAATTTCATGCTCCTCAGAATTCCCATCCAACATCTATTAAGTTCTTAAAATTGTTTCTAAAAAGTGATCTAAAAATAAAAATCAAACAATTGTCCTTTCTAACAGCCTTGCTATGATTCATTCACTTAACTTATGCATTCAAGATATTTAGATACAGACGGATAAATTTCACATCCATATAGAAGATAATAATCGAATGACACAAAATTCAGAACAGTTTATTTGTCGGCACAAAATCCATTACAATTTACAATTTAACTTAATTGTGGGACACTGGTACTTCAAATCAAGTCAACTATAACAAAAATTATTGGTTATGACTAACGAACTAAAATTATAAGAAGTAAAATAAACAAAAAACAGTGAATTAGTAAGGTTAGAAATAAAATATGCAATAGATCTTAAAATAAAAGAATGCAGATCTTAAAGAGGAAGAGGAAACCGAAGTAGCTTAGATCGAAAATACGTGTCTTCCTCTGAAGGTCAGGGAATGGAAGGAGGCCACAATCAGCGAAAAATGGGAGAAATATTACTCTTCATTTCCTCTTGTAGAAAATGACTGTTTTTGTCTTTTCGTTTCTTAATCTTCATTTTATTTTATAAGGTTGGACAGATAGAAAAATAATAATTGTTATATATGGGAAAGGAACTATCTCGGTTTTGTTTTTGTTACCAGTGTACCGTTACTGTTTATTTTCTATTTTAAATCTTTAATCTTTTATCGTTTTATTTTTAAAGAGGCTTTATTATATTTAAAAAATATATATTAAAAAAAATTATCTTCATCTTAATTCTTAACTAATATAATATTTATGAATAATATTGAAATATAATCTCCAGTAACTAAAATAACAGACTTTATATTCGATAATAAATATTAATATTTTATCTAAACACAAAAGTGTCTTGATGTTATAGCTTACAAGAATATTATTAAGATTAATTTTGTTTTTAAATAGAAAAAAATGATATATAGAAAAAATATTTTTATTAAAAGTATAAAAATAATTTATTATTACTAATATTTATATTATTGTTATTATTTTAAAAAAACCAACTTTAATAAATTATATTTATTGGATTAGCGTTTTATTTTAAAAAAAATAACATGTATTAAATACATAATTAATTATATTGACAATATAATTTATTCTTGTACATTTCAACTAATTTTTTCACTTTTTTATTCTTTTACTTCTGCTAGGAAATCTTTTATCTACCATTCAATTTCATTTTTTGAAGTTTAATATCCCAAGAAATTACCATTTTTCCTTTCTGTCTTACCTTTCCAACCATGCTTCACACCTGCAAAAAGTCTTTTCAACAATTCTTTACTATTAAGATCTAGTAACAATTTTTATCACCATTTAATAATTTTAATAAAATTCAATTAAGGAGAAGCGTCTTAAAAATGTTATTATAAAAAAAATATATATATATATATATATATATATATATATATTATTCCATGAATAAAAATGGATAATTAAAATTAAAATTTTTAATTTTTAATTAAAAATATTATAAATAAAAAATTTAATTATTAAAATTTTATTTTTATAAAATCGTTATTTCTGTACTTCTTAATCTGTAGTTTCTTTTTAAGATCTTTTATCTATTTTTTTTAAATCTAAGTATATCATAATACTCATAATTATAAAAAGAAATTTTTTATTTAATTAGAAGTTGTCAAATAGTAAGATTTTTTTGTCGATTTTGTCTAGGATGAGTTGCATACGTTATTTTTTGTTTTGCATGTATTAGAAATCTGTTTGCATTTTGCAATTTTGGGAAAAAACAATATTGACTAATCTAAAGTTTTTATACTGTGTTTAATTTATTAATTTAAGCTTATTTGGTTTGAATTATAAATTTCCACTTAGAAAAAAATTTATTTAAGATAAGGAAAACTAGTAATTGAATTCTTAGTATTCTAAGTTAAAGAAGCTAAATCATAATTGAGTAAAAAATAGGTATATTATTGTAACTAACTCATTTATTACAACATTTTGAGAAAGAAATTAGCTAAGTTTGCTCTCTTATATCACATTTCAAGTATAAGCAATTATTATATTATCCATAACATATAACAATTATATTAGCCCATAAGATGTAAAAATCAACTATTTTAATACATTACATCTAAAAGTTAATAATTATCATAATTTATAGTTATTGTTCATTTCTAATACACAAAAATAAACTTTATCCTTTCTTAATTATAGAATTTCGTCAACCACCACCACATTTAATACATGATCCTTATTGTATTAATATATTAATTTTAAAAACTAATAAACATGAAGAGAAAAAATATAAATAACTATTTTAGATAAATCTACAATGAGATGGATTTATTATATGATAAAAAGAAAAATTATTAATTAATAATTTATAACATTTTAATTAAAAAATAAATTATATATTAATTAAATTATATATTATAAATCTACAGAGTTGGTCATGCAGTGAAAAAAAAAGCACATGACAATATCATTCTTTAAAATTAATAATTCCAATTATCAATAAGACTTAATAAGATATTATACTAATAATTATATATTAATTATAAAAGAAAAATTTATAATTTTACTTATGCATTTAATATAATTTTATTTACATATTAATATATATTATAAAAAATATTTCTCTTTTTTAGTATTATTTTTGGTATAACTGAATAAATAATATTACCCATATTATTATAAAAAAAAGTTATTGATGTATTTTTATTTAGAAAAGAGAAGAGAAAAAAACCTAATAATAATATTAAAAAAAATTGATAGTATAAAAATATAAAATTGTTTCCACTTATATAAATAAAAGAAAATATGTGTTATTGAATCACACCAGTGGTGCACTCTCCACACGTTAGTCAAAAGTCAAGTTACTCTCTTAAGTCCCTGACAGAGAAAATTCCCTACCCAAACATGATTTGTTCTGTTTTATTAGCAGCAGGCATATTGAGCCATAAATAAAGGTGTTCGTGCTTTTGAAATTTGCCCTTTTCCTTCCTCCATCATTCATAAGATTGGATTATTCATAACTTCAAACATCTGAGTCTACATATAAAAGTTGGTTTCTAATTAATGATAAAAATAATTACAATAAATGGAAATTTAATATCGTATATCACTTTAATTTGTAATTTAGGGTTTATTATATGAAAAGTATGGTAATGTTTATTTTTTCTTAAATAAGTTAATTTTGATTTTAACAGTTTTTTTCTTTTGTTTTAGGTCTTTCAAAAATAAAAATGACTTCTTTTTATTTATAGCATAACACTAATTAACTATTAATTATTTGTGTTAAATAAAATATTAAATTACTATTTAAAGTAATGATTATTATGTATCATCTCACACATAAGTTTAATATTCATAAAATAAATATTAATCGTATATTTTAAATATAATATTATTAAATATTGAGTTTAACTCACACTTATGTATCTAAAAAAATTTAAATTAATCAAATTTATTTTATCTCAGTTAATATGTGTAGAGAAGGTTTTTTAGTTTTTCTAAGTCAGAACATGAGATAAATTTCGCAGTTTTTAAAAAAGAAAAAACAAGAAAAAGTTGTTTGGCTTCTAAAAGTTTTTCATAATCGATTGAAAATATATAGTTCGATATATTAATTTTACACTTGTTAGTAGAAAATCGATAAAGGGATCGAAAAACGAAGGAAAGAAAAAATCGAGGATCATATGATTGGTTAAAAAACTGATAAAGTGAAAAGATGGTTGAAAAACATTCGATGACCATGTAATAGTATGGACACATAAATCGAGAATTAGAATCGAAAATCGAAGGAGAAATATTTAATGTCTATTGTTGAAGAAAATCGAGGAATTAGAATCATGTAATGTTAAGGTTAAGGGGAATCAAAAAAGCAATGCAAAGTTCTCGAGATTTTGAAATCGAAATCGAGGGAAAAGTTAACATGCACGACCATCAAAATTCTGGCTAAGTTAGAAAGAGAGGAACAGTTAAACGCACACATAGAACATGAGAAGCGGTTTCTAAACCGTGGCAGAGATCGAAGGTCAAGGGAGCGGTTATCTCACGCATGGGAACGTGAAATACAGTTTTTTAAACCGTGGAAATGAGGGACGTGCATGATTGATCGTGGTTGTAGTTTTGTTAACTACTCTTAGGAAGTTACTTGAAAGGCGCTCTATAAATAGAGCAAAGAATGAAGGAAAGGGGGAAATTGACAGAGAGAACTGAAACACTAGTGAAAAAGTCTCCCAGAGAATGACGAAATCATGAAGTTTCTGGCGATCTGGATTTCCATTTTCATTGATTGTCTTTTCCGCTTTTTGTACTTTCCCTGGTAATTTATGTTCATGCAATTTATTTTGATGCAGTTTACGTTTAGCAACTTTAAGTTTCTGCACTTTCAATTCCTTGTCACTTACTTCTATGCAAGTTAAGGTTATGCGTTTAAGATCCTCGCCATTTACATTCCTGCAATTTCGATTTCCCGTTCTTTACTTTCCTGCAATTTCGATTCTTTGCCCTTTTACACTTAACACAATTTTGAGGTTTCCGCACTTTACATTTTTTCTGCAATTTAATATTCTGCACTATCGTTCGATTCGATATTTTTTACTGTTTTCTTTACTTCGCGTCTCTTAATAAAAAATACCAAAAAATAGTACTTTCGATTTGCATACTAATTTGCGTTGTTTACATTCTCATGCATTTTTCGATTGAAAATCGTTTGCTAGCCTAAATAAAAAGAATCTACGTGGTTAAATTTTGGTTAGAACCTAAGTCTCGATTTAATCAAAATCGATCAAATTTTCACCAGAAATAAATTGGCGCACTAGGTAGGGAAATAT